TTTTGCTCCGGTCGCCTGTGCAGGTTCAAAACACGGCACAGGTCGATTCCAAGACACGCTCCGGTCTACCTGTATGGACACACCTGCACAGGCAGACCTAGCATGTATGATCTGTGGGCAGACCTCTTCGGTACACCCACCATAAGGGTAACTGCGGGTTGGCATTAGGTTTGATCAGTTTAAAAGTGTGCGAGAGAAAACCACCTATAAAGGCACTTGTAGTAATTTCACTAGCTTTTTACTCATCAACTGATTTGGTCGTTTTTTTATAAAATTGTTACCACCAGTTTTTAAAATCTGTCAAATTTGTCTACGAAACGACATGGCGACTGAGCAAAAAACAGTACATGCGCCGCACGTGTACTGTTCTTTCACTCAGCCGAAAATTGAACAAGCTCCCATCGCTCGTACGATGTTGGTCGGTGTATTATTCTTTCGCTATGTGATAGGCCTATGAATTTTAAACAATTTGCCTGTCTCGGTTAAAATTGCCATTTTTGGCACTTGTATTGTTCTTTCACTCACCGATTCAAGTAATACATCAACACCAAAAATATTAAATAATCTCCAAAATGAATGTATGATATCCAATAAAAGTCTATGAGCTGAAAGTTAAATTAAATGGAAACTCAAATTAAATGTTTCCTAAAAATTATCAGTTCACACCAAATATACTATACAAATCACAAAGTAATGATCGGGAATAATATGTGAGCACCATAAAAATAAGACCAGGTTGTCAACCTGTGTACATGAATGCAATAGAAGTTGTCTTCTTGTTTTAGTTTTAGTGCTTGATAGTATAATTTTTTATGCCAGTGTTCTTGAGACTCAAATATATTATTGTAATGCCGATTCTTCTTTATTTTGGTTCTCAAATATTTTAAAATTTTTGGTGGCATACGACAAATATTTGGAGATCATATCAATATTACTTTCGTGCTCGGTTAAATAAAACCAGATTTTTTCGGTGCTCTTTTGATTGATCCAGTCAAATTTGTGTGTAATCTTAAAAACTATTAAAATTTTTATACGTCGTGAATATTGTTTTGGTAAACGTTTAATTCTCTTGCAAAATATCACGTGCCACAGCTATATCGTACACCCGACTTTTTTCCACATTTTTTTAAATAAAATTTTCAAATTTGGGACATCAATTGTACACAGTAAATACTAGTTTTTTCACGTTAAAACTATTTTTTTTAACTTCCCGTTTTACCGGAATGACATCAGCCTATGATTTCTATATGGGAGACCCTGTATGTTTTGAAATATTCTTGACGATCGGATTTCAATGATGTATCACACTTGATGTCTATTATGTTCAATAAATAATCTACAGCCACCTAAAAATAACATTTTTCTGAATTTGGATTGCTGCGTAGCCAAACGGTTGAGAATCGAGAAAAACGGCTTACATGTCTCGATCCTAACTTGTTGAGATGTATACAGTAGCATATAAAAATATTTGATACAGGGTGATAAAAAAACGAAATTATTCATCACCCTGTATCAAATAATTTATATGCCACTGTATTCATCTCAAAAATTTAGGAAATGGACATGTTAGCCCTTTACTCGATTCTCAACCGTTTGGCTACTTTAGAAATCCATAATCAGAAAAATGTTATTTTTAGGTGGCTCTCTTTCCTGTACATAATCGACATCAAGTGTGATACATCAATGTAATCCGCTCGTCGAGAAGATTTCAAAAATGTATTATTTATTAAACATGGTGTCTCATTTAAAAATCAAAGACAGATGACATTTCTGGTAAAACCGGAAATGGAAAAAAATTAGTTTTTACGTGAAAAATTGGTATTTACTGTGTACAATTGATGTTACAAATTTGAAAATTTTATTTAAAAAAATGTGGAAAAAAGTCGGGTGTACCATCCAGCTGTGGCACGCGGTATATAGTGTCCTTTTCTCAAGATATACCTAAATACTTCTTGGATGCAGTGAACACTGAACAGTCATGTCTTATACAATGCGGAGGCCACTTGAAAATGATATTACTATACAAATGCAACTAACTAGTCGAACTCAATTTATTTAATCAATTTTCTTAAAAACCTTATGAAGAAAGTTATTGACCTTGTCTAAAGCAAAGCTATTTATAGAATGATTTAATATTTTGGAGTGTATGTCCCCAGAAGGTGGTTTAAAAATATACGACGTAGCGTTATAGATGGCAGCACTAAGCAAAGAGAGATAGTGGCCTCTTAGTGATTCTAAGAGAACGGTTCTTTAACACCTAATTTAACACTTACGATTACCGGTTCTATGGGGACTTTACGATAAACTAGGTACAGTTCTAATCAGCTTGACGAGACGAGTCGATTGCAATAGAAAAAACCTTAAGCGGACACGGAAAAGTCCCCACAATTCATGAACGTCCGTACAAGGTTAACTATAGGTCGATGCATGTCCTCCTAAGGATGAGCGCACCAACAACTCACACACACACACACATACACGCCCACACACACACACACGCACGCACGCACGCACGCACGCACGCACGCACGCACGCACGTACGTATGTATGTATGTATGTATGTATGTATGTACATATGTATGTATGTATGTATGTATGTATGTATGTATGTATGTATGTATGTATGTATGTATGTATGTATGTATGTATGTATGTCCCATTAGTGCGTAATTATCCAAGTTTCAAATTAAAGTTATATGGATTTAAAAAATACATAATTTAAAAATATTATTGATATACACAGAATGTATGATTTTTAAATAAAACATTCTGTATTTTATATTTAGAATGGTTTGGTAATACTGCATTCAACCCTATAATTTTTTTAAAAAATATTACTCTTTTGCCAAGCAATTTTTTTTTAATTAGAGAATGATGCAGACATCAAATTAAATTATTATAATTTGGGTAACTATACATTGATTTCAAAATATACGGACTTATATATCTACAGGACAGAAATATAATTTTACTTTAGCTAAAGAGACCAATTTAATATACAAACACATTTTTTACTAATACGCAAATAAAAGAAATAAAATTATAAGTGGATTTTAGGAAACAGTTTCTTATAAGTTGGTTTAGGTAATAACAAAACGTATAAACTAAACTAGTACATTTTTTTGGTTGTTAACCGCCCTTCTTATGTGGTCCAACAAATCGTTTATAACAATAATACTATTAGTGGTTTCGGAATCCCAATCGGCCTAAAAAAGCAAAATGTGTCGATATGAATAACTAAAAACAAATATTTATTTAAAGCTAGTATTCACATTGCAAGGTTTACGGTAAATAGACACTCCCTGTTTATCATTCTTTTAAAACGTAATATATTTTCTGATCTACCTCCAACCCTTTTATGGCATAATTCTTCTAAATATTGTCGAACAGAAATTGTTATCTTCGCTGAATAGTTTTTTTTTTCGCGGTAAAATGTGGCGAAGTGTCGAGAAAACATAAAAAGAATATTGTCATGCCAGATCCATTTGGAAGATTATTAGAAATATATTAGGGAACGTTCGCAGCAGAAGTCATTTGGGATATTATCAAGAATATATTTTATAGTAATGATGCGGGGCAATCCTGAAAATGTTTTTGTATAAAAGGAATGGATTTTTTTTTTATTATGCTTAAAGATAAAGTGCCAAGGTCACTTAAGGTCCTAATGCACACTCCGTGTTGGCTCTTATCGAACTACAAATTAACATACACAGAAAAAATAATTTGATAATATTTACGGAATCGGTTCTTTGCAAGTTTAACGGAATATTTTTGTAAGTACTAGATAATATTTATAGTATTAACAGACATTTTTATACCGAAATTACGAAAATTTAGATAGATTTATATAATTTCTCTTAATATAATTAAAGAAGATTTCGCGTAAGGCGTCTAGACTAAGTAAAGTTAAAATATAATAAAAATGTAATATTTGTACTGCTAAAACAAGCTTAAATCGTTTATTGTTAGCTGGTCTCCTTCAACGTTTACATTAAAGTTAGATCCTAAATCAATCATTAATTGCTTGATGTCCATAAAATCCTCATGAGTTAGTTCCCGTACACGATAGGGTTCTCCTTTTTTCTTAGCAGTCCTTATTAATTGGATGAATTGTTCTGGAACGAAAATGGGTCCTGATTTTAAAGACCGACGAACCTGAAAGCAATAAATTATGAATAATATTAGCAAAAAAGCAGAGACGTAATGATATTAAGTAGGCCCCATATTATAGAGAATTTTATGTCTTTAGAAAATTTCATTTTGTTGTGTAGACTTTAACTGCACAAAACTCAAAACTTTTAAATAAAAACGCGTTCTTTTCGTAGCCTCTGGTGAAATGAGCAGAAGCATAATTTCTCTAAAAGTAATTATAAAAGTATTACCTGTTTTTCGATAACTGAATGAGTTGAATCCCCCTCATTTTGAGTATGGCCCATGACAAGAAACTTTTGTGTTATTTGTTTGATTTTATATTTTTGTACTGCGTAAATCAAGGCTGCTATCAAAAACATGTAACAAAATAAAATATTTAGTACCAAATTAGTTTTAATGCGTATCTAGTATTCACTTGTTTTTTTGTTGCGCTGCACAATTGTCGCTATATAAGGTAATCTCCAAATCATCAGACATTTTTCTGCCTTGTATTCGAGATACAATAAAATGCAGGTACCAACCTCCGTTACGCCTTTTCCACCCTCTCCTTCATGCCAAACAAAACACAAAGTTTCATCCTCTCCTAACCCAGTCACAGTTAAATTCATGGTATTAAGCTCAGATCTGTAATAAAACACAGAAAGGTCTCCCTTAGGTACTTGAAAAACAGCTTGCATATCATAACAAGCAACGACAAAATTTTTGTTACACATTTTTTTATCATTTTCTTTCTCAGTTCTTGGGTTTTTTTTTTCTTCCTGGTGTTTGTCATATTCCAGTTTCAATTTTAATTTTTCCTCTTCATTAGGATGATCATAAATATAACAAAGGTTGCATTGGTCCTTTTTTGGTACATAAAAGGATATATTAAACTCCCTGTTAAATATATCCGAGAAAAGATGATAGTTACCATAAGGTTTATTGGCAATTTCGCACTGCATTTGGTATTCCCTTTGCAAATCTGCTATTGTTTTTCCACCTTCAATATATTCTTTGTTGCTCTGAACCCCCAAGTAGTGGCTTTCTATTCTCGGTATTGAGGCTATAAATTCTTTGATACCATTTTTAATATCATCATCTACTCTTTTATGCTTCCCATGTTTACCTCTTTTATCATCGCTAACAGATCCAGAAGATGTTCTTTTTTGTATTACTGTATAGATAGTTCTAGCATTTATATCCAAGGTTCTCATAAAAAACAATTTACACACTCGAATTTTGTCTTGATTAATTTGAAAATAAAAAGCATTGTTTAATCTTCTGCTGTTAGGCTGTGGGTATCTGTAGTTTGGCTGAATCGACTCCAGTTTCTAGATATAAATTCTCGTTTTCTATTAATATCTATTAAATTGTAATACTCGTCAAACAATATTGATCGTTGTTCCTGGGTTATCCTGTTGATACATTTGTATTTGCATTTATTGGAACAAGGTGGTTTCATAATTTTTGCTGGTACTATTCTTTTAGATTTTGCACAGGACGTACACTCTGCCCAAATTTCGTAAAATTCCTTACGTAACCTTTTCCTAGTCTTCTTTGGTTCTGTACTTTCTGTAACTTTTTTTATCACATTTTGAACTTCTTTTTGATTGTTTGTGCAGTTGTAATTAGGACGTGTGAGCATTTCAGTATTGCTGGATCTTGGAGAACTAGACGATGAAGAAGACAAGTCTGATGAAGGTGTAGAGTCTGAGGACGAAGATGAACTTCAGTCGTAATCAGGATCTTTAACAGTATCATCTTCGTCCTCGCTAAAATACACTTTATTATCAAGAACCTCATTTTCTTTTGTTTTATCAGAATAATTGCTATTTATAGCTTCACTGCTATTTCCAGCTTCATTTTCTGAAGGATAAAAAAGATCGCTTATTTTGGGATGGTCTTCGGCTGGTTTATTCTCCTTGGAAGTTAATGTACAGTTACAAACATTCTCAGTACCCTTGTTAATGGTTTGATTTGGTTCAGGGGTATTAAGAGTCCTGTCAACCTCTTCTTCCTTATTGTCAGCTTTAAGAACCGCTTGCACCATTAATTTACCTCTTGACATGATATTAGCTGTAACAAAAGCATGTGCCGATATAAAAAATAAATATAACATAATAGAATTAGACAGTTAATAATTTTTTAAAATATATAGTGGTTTTCTATCGAATAGCCAAAAAATAACGAACATTTCAAACAAAAAGTTTGATATCTTTTACGAAACATTGATAGTTGGCTTTATAATATTCTGCAAACAATAAAAAACTCACCTTATAAGACTTCCTTATTCCTTTAATAAAACAATAAATTGGATTAGTATCGTAATACGTCAAAATTTCCTTAGCTTGATGCAATATTAACGGCGTTAACACCAAAAATATTATTAAAAAACTTATGTAATATGAATGATACAAGGTTCGTCCGACACAAATCGCGACTGGTACACTAAATTTCCGTTGAAAACTGTTTTAACTACAAATAGTACAAAAATACTTAAAATGTCAATTATATTTTCTAAAATGTTTCTAGGAAAACCGTAATAATTTAAAATGGTACACTTTTCCGCGGAAATAAGTCCAAAAATAGTTATGTATTACGAAGAAAAGAGATATAACTACAAATGTTACACTTTTCCGGGGAAAAAGTAAACTTATATTTTTTAGCCTTTTAACCGAAAACGTAATAACTACAAATGTTACACTTTTCTACGAGAGCGACACGAATTAATCTGTAACAATCCATTAATAGTACTGTTTTCTGCGGAACTCAACACCAAACGTGTTCCAACGAAAAGAGCTCTCCACGCCCTCTATCCAAAAATATTAGAATTATCTTTGTTACAGTTTTCTTCGGAGATAGATTATTGTTTTTACTACTCATTCGTAAAATAAACGGATTTTTAGAATTTTTTGAGTTATTACACTTTTCTTCGGGATGTGCGATTTATGCCTCTTTACTAAATAAAAAGAATTCTGTTTGTGCCAAATAAATGGTACTTAAAGATACCAATAGTTCCTTATTTTAAAGAACCTATAATTGGAACGATGGTATTAAAAGTGGTAGTACCCATACAAATCTACCTACAAAATGTTTGTAAATCACAAAGATGCCTTTCTTTCCTACTAAACGAAAAATTTTTAGACACACCGGCAAGTCAATGTTTTAAGTTTTCGTAGTTAATTCACCCCACTTTTCGCAAATAGACAAACGATTTGCTTCATCTAACCTCCTCTAATTCTCCAGACTTCAGATTCTTTATTTCTTTATAAGATTGCGTATGCAAAAGTTTGAGTTTAAATACAATAATTGTGAAGTTTAGTGAATTTTCTCTAAGGTAAGAAAGCAAAACGTTTTTTAAATCAATCATTGTCGATGTAAATATCGTGACGAAGCCCGAATTCGCCAAAGAACTATCTGGAAAAGTCCCGATTCGGGGCTTAAACACAATTAAATGCACTGTGCTGTCGCAGCAACGATGGCGCAAACTTTCGAAAAAACACAGGGCCGTCTTAGATGATTTGAAACCGAACATTACCTATCAAATAAAACAAATATTAATAACGTTGCTTTTGATCTTTCAAAGAAGGAAGGTGTTCATTAGGATATTACTGATTGTGATTAGTGGTTAATGAGTATCGCAATACCTTCACAGATGTCTTTTTTCATGGTCAAACCAAAAGCTGTAGCCCTATTGTGAAAAATGCAAGAGGTATTATCCAAAGGAAACCGAATTCAACCAATGATTTTGTTTGTGGGTACAATCAAAGATCCAAAAGAAATCATGGTATATTGGGACCAGACCAAATATAAATTTTTCAGTGTTTTGAAAGCAGTGGACATATATTTTTCGTGTTTAATCTAAAATATCCAGAAGCCAGCACCGCGATCTGGCAATTTATTCAAACATATTTTTATCACATTACCACCAAAGAAGATAAAGTTTTCCCGGATAATAAAGTGTTCGAAAATTAACTTTTTAAACAATAATTATTATAGAGTTCATTCAACGTGTTCTAAGTTATTATGGAATTTTTGGTTGTTTTTTTGATGAATAAATAATGAATAAATAAAACTTTTTTAATACTAACAGTGTTGTTTTTCTTTCTAGAACTGATTTGTGGTTAAACATGTCTCCAAATGCAGAATGATCATCTAATATTGATGTACAGAAATATTCATAATATACGGAGACCCTTTCCAGTTATTATTAAAGTTGCAGAAAAAAATATTTAACGTTAAAATTCCATACATACATTATACAAACTTCTGTTTATATTTTAAACAGCCACATTTTTTTAACGAAACACTACATTTTTTTTAATATAGTTTATCTTATGGTTAGTTGACTTCATCAAACTAAATACTTGTGCATTTAATGAGTAATTCAGGAGTTAAAAATCATCTAATTTACTACTTTAAGTAATGTTTAAACAAAAAATATTACATATTTGGCAAAACATCTTACATATATCTAATCTAACTTTTCATTTGCTGTACAAAAACATTATAAAAAAATTATACTTGTAATAAAAAAATTATACTTGTAATAAAAAAATTATACTTGTAATAAAAAAATTACTTTAGTTTCATATGTCATATAGGTTATGTAAGTCGTTTTCCTTTTGATGCTCAAAGTAGGTGAATTTTAATAACCTGTAACACCATAATATTTTACATAATAAGTATTTAGTCAGCTAATTAAGGATAACCTAAAAATTGAAAAAATGTTCCTGCTTCGTCACAAATTTTAAAAACTAGAGTTAAAACTCTAGAACTTTTGTTAAACAATTTGTTCCGTACCTATAAATATTCCTGTACATTAATTTTTGGAAAAATATTATCAGAAATGCTTATTACAATACAAAAAAACTTGTAAAATCTAAAGATATTTTTTTTAATCTTACGAAATATTTTACAAATATACCAATACGTTCTGTAAGAGATAAAGAGTATTTGGTTTCATTTGTAAAAGTTTTCATTAATAGTATAACGAGTTTTGGAAATTTAACAAACTGTTTTATTATATTTATAGAATTTTTTGTTATATTTAAAGAAGGGCATGTTTAGATTACAAAATGTTTCGCAAATATTTTCTTATTTTACAGATATTTTGTTTCAACTACAGATTGTTCTATAAAAATACTAAAACATTAATTACTATGTACATAAATATCTACCACACATACAGAAAATTTCAATACCTCTATATAAATGTTGTATAAGGGTTACAGAATGTTATCAGGCTATAGAAGTTCATGTCTATATTACGAAGGAATTTTATACTTGTTATTAAACTAAATTATGGCATTACAACTAATTTCTGTATTTTATACGTAATATTCTTTAATAACACGAATAGAAACGAATTTTAATATTCACAGAAACCTCTGTTGGCGCCATAGTGAAAGAAATTTCTGTAATATTTGATGTACTTTATATAACATTTACCTAGATTTTTCTTTCTGTGTAAATATAATAAGTATTCATCAAAAATTCACTTGACAGTAAACCTCTTATTGCCCAAAATAACTAACCGCTCAAACATTAATATTTTTTTATATCTACAGGGCCTTTTAGAAAACAGCCGAAACACTCACGCAAATGCTCATCTTCTTAATATTCTTACAACGGATGGTACAATAAGCGGTTAATATAAAACTTCCTTTTATTTTTCTGTAATATGTTTATAAGAAAGCTTCAAAAAATTTTTTTTTTGTTTTTATCCTTTCAAATATTTCTGTTTAATTTAAAAAAATTCTCACTAAATATAAGCGTTCCAGCTCATTTCTAAGAGGTCGCTGTTTTTATTTTAGTTTTCCATTTAAAAATAATTTTTTTTTGGAATTTTATACCTCTATATCAAAGTAACTTATGGCACTGATCATTGCAGTTTCTTATATATAATTTAACGCTCTACAAAAAAAGTCTCTTATGATTTTTCGATAAATTAATGGGGTACCAAAAAATTTCGTAATTTTTTTTTTAGTAATTGTTTATTTTGGTTTCTTAATCATTTTAAAATATATTGTCTTACAAGCTCACGCATGTAATGGAAAAAAATTATTCTGAGCCTGTAGAGCAAGAAAAAATAAGGTAAAAATTTGGAAAACTTCCGTCAGTAAACTTAACTGGAAGAAACACCTCTGCGAATTGAAAAATAACAGCGTAAACAGACTAAATATTCTGAAATCGTTATCTCCTCATCAAACGGGAGCAAAAGAAGAAGTTTTACTCAAGGTGTACAGAGCACTAATTAGATCCACGATATATTACGGAAACTTCATCTATATGTCGGGAACTAAATCTGCTCTAAAAACTCTGAATTCTCTTCAAAATTCTGCATTAAGAATATGCCTTGGAGCTTTTAGATCCAGTCCCTCTGAAAGTTTATGCTGTGAAGCTAACGAACCAGTTCTCTGGCTGAGGCAACAACAGCTTCTTCTTACCTACTATGCAAGGATTTCAGCAAATCCCAAAAACCCAGCATATTCGATAATTAACGCGGCATATTTAAATTTCCACTTTTCCACTCATAATGTTCAAACATTACCACAAATCCTTGCTCCACTTCTCGCTGATATCGATTTATCTCAAACAACTCCAATTCCTATTCGCTCCGTGCGAAGTTATGGCAAGGGAAGCAAAAGCGATACTAGCGCTAGCTGCGAATAATTCGT